GCTCTAAGTATCAATAGGTAGCTTGAGTGCGTGGAGTGAACTGTGGAACTTGACTGAGTTTGTGGTTGCAAGATCCTCTCCTGGATCTCTTCATGAAAATGCTTCTCTTAACAAAGATTATTAAGGTGAGGTTTGATCATTCCCTCTTATGATGCTTGCTGCCATCATTGAATGCTGATTCAGCAACTGCGGAAGTTTAAAGCTCTCGACCACGAGTTCAAATTCCTTCAAAGTCTCACCCAGCCCAGAACCTTATGATATCTCTGGACTCCTCTATTCCTGGCCTTTTGTGCTGTTAACCATGTTGTCAGCAGGACTGCTGCCTCACAGCACCAGGGACCCCCAGGCAACTGTCCGTGTGGAGTTTGCACATTTTCCTATGTCTGCAGGGGTTTCCTCTGGGTTTTCCGGTTATCTCCCACTGTCCAAAGATGTGTAGGTTAGGTGGATTGGCCATGCTAAATTGCCTCATAATGTCCAGGTATGTGCAAGCTAGGTTGGTTAACCATGGGAAATGTGGGATTAGGGGGATTGAAAGGGGGTGGATCTGGATGGGATGCTCTTCGGAGGGATCAGTGTGGATCGATGGGTCAAAGAGTGTGCTTCTAGACTATAGGGATTCTATGATTTTATGACTCTAAATTCTAAGCACTGGAATTCTTTCCATAGCCCCTTCTGTCTGTCAAACTGTCTCTCTGTCAATGCAGTTCACAACCTACCAATGTACCCTGACTGGGGCAGCTTGTAAATCTATCAATGCATATTCAGCAGAACACATGTATGTTTCAAGGGTTCAGTAGCAAACTATCCAAACTGTAGATAAAAAGAACCTTCAGTTTCCAAAGCAATCTATGTGTTTCTACAGTTTGTAAATCAGTACTTGTTAAGACCTCAAACACGGCCCAGATTTTGCCATGGTAGTGATAGGGCACGGATCAGTGTCCAACACCCTTCAGTGTTCCACTGAGTTTAACCTCCACATTTGCAGAATAATGAGCAGAATAATGAACAGAATTCCAGAAGTTGTTGTCAATGATTCTACTTGATAGGATGTGTTGTAAAGATTTCTGTTGTCTGCAATCAGCATTGTAATCACGAATTGATGAAGACTTCAACTCTATTGCTGTAAGTCTTTGAAACATAGAAACATAGAAAATAGGAACAGGAGTAGGCCATTCAGCCCTTTCAGCCTACTCTGTGATTCATGGCTGATCACCCAACTCGGGAACCTGTTTCCACTTTCCTTTGACCCCTTTAACCCTACAAACTATATTTAACTTCTTAGAGTCATAGAGCTGTACAGCACGGAAACAGACCCTTCAGTTCAACTTGTCCACGTTGACCAGACGTCCTAAATTGATCTAGTCCCATTTGCCAGCATTTGGCCCATATCCGTCTAAGCCTCTCCTGTTCACATACCCATCAGATACCTTTTAAATGTTGTAATTGTACTTTGTTGAAAATATTCAACGTTTTGGCCTCAACCTACTTTCTGTCTTGATGTTGAAAATTCCAGAAAAGTCTATTCTTAGCTGAGTGAGATGTAACTGTACCCTTAATGACATACTAACTTCAGAATTACAACTAAACAGCAGTCCTGAAAAAGTTAACTTTATATTGATGGATTGTCAAATTACTTTCACCATGCTTTTAAAAAATCCACACCTCATCTTTTTAAAAGTAGTTCATCTTTATTTAGTTTGCATCTTAATTCATGGAAGAATTTATTTCACTATTCGAAATTTTAAGATAAAGATAAAACGTATTAAATGCTTT